GTCAACGTAAAGTGTGATCTCAGTCCTGCTACGAAAATTCCAAAAGAGGACAGTTTTTTGTCTTTATAATTTTTTTTAGAAAATAGAAGTTACTTTTTCAATCAGTGAAGATTATTTTATATGAATCATCCGCTACATCTTCTACAGAAGCATCTTTGTATGCACTCACCTTAAAATTTGACCCGGATTCTGTTGAATAGTACTTAAGAAATGATGGAACATTAAATCACCATGTGCCGGTAAAGCTTTCTCATAGGCTTCCTGATCTTCGGGAGTTGCTGCGGCCACACCACTACTACCACCTCCTGCACTACCGCCAGCACTACCAGGTGACAATGCCGATTCATCCTGCTTCTTATATTCCAAATAAAGTTCACGAATATGTTCGGCCGACAATGAACCACCATATAATTCATAATCCTGACCCGATGCATTAATTTCTAAATCTACCGCAATAAAATATGGTTTAATTGTGAGATCGGATAATTTAGCTAATGGTCCTAAGGCGGCCGGTGTAGGTGTATGCTTAAGTAAGGCTATTAAATCACGTTCAGGCTTTTGAGGTGTTTCGACTAGAACCACATCCGTCTCAGGTCCTTCAATTTCTGCACATATTGCTGCTGAAGCTGCAGCAGCAATGCCATTACCACCACCACCGCCAGCAGCGGCATCAGCACAATTGGCATTGGGATCTTCGGCAACGTTTTGTGCAGCCCGAACATCCATTTGATTGAAATTCATTATCAGTTCATTGTCCATGGAATTGCTTTCATCTTCGTCATCGTCCTCATTCGACGATGAGGGACGTTCATCACCATCACTGGACAATGGTAAATTGACATTTTTTCCACTGATCACATTGCCATTTTCCTCATTGGATTCATTACATTCGTCCGCCTCTGTATCCATTTTTTCTATGGTTTCGCCAACAATTGCCTGATCATCGACGGCACCCCAATCATCTGCTCCACTACACCAAGACAGCTTTCCGGTTGCTTGCTTGCTCGCCTCCTTTTTCTTTTTCTGCTTATTATTTTTGGGTGAAGCTACAGCCTTTATAATATCACTATGATCAGGTGTATCCAAATGTTGGGTCCTGACGCATAGCCAACTCTTGGAATTTTGCGAGCAAACAGGATTCAAACATGCAAATATATAAAGGGTACGATGAAATTGAGACATTTCTAGAGGTGCATACAGTTGTACTATCAATGGACGTGCTGTGCCACATAATGGACAGGCTGGAATTTTTATTTCACCATTTGGCCAATCCTAGAAAAATAAAAGGACAAAAAAGAAATATCAATTATTTGTTGTACAGTGAAATATGGTTAAATTGAAAGGAAACTGGAGTGTCATATTCGCAGATTCTTATCCTATGTTAATAAAATCAATAACAGCTATTTGCAAAACTCTGTTCCTTTGATGTACCCATCTAAACTTCGAGATACAAAATGTCACAAAACCCTCCACATCCATCAACTTATTAAATTTCCCCAATTTCCTCTTCAATATGATGGAATTCAAATCCTAGTCATCGCAACCCTTTTCCACTGTTCCCCGAAACACATTCATACACACACGCACCATCATACCACCACATAGCAAATAAACGAAAAAAAATACTATAGAACACCTACCGCACTACCACCAATTTTATTTATGGTACTATTCAATAACGAAGAATGCTTATCCGTAATCTCTTCGTCCTCATAGCCTAGATAGACTGTGCTTTTATTTTTGGCCATATTTTGGAATTTTAAGTTATAATTTATCGTCACTCGACAATTTCTTTAAATTTGCACTTGCGAATTTGTCTCCTTGTGTCAGTAGTATTGCTAGGGATACATAGGTTGATCTTCGACGAAAATAATCGATATTGTGCTATCGACTTTTCGACATTGAGAACCCTGGTTGTGTGACAGGTGTACATTACTTGATGTTACCATATTGTTACAGATCTAATCGGCTGTTTTTTTTTTAATCATTGGCCTATGTCCTATGATTGGCGAGCGAGATTGACCCCAACAAAAAATCTATTTCTAACGCTGGGGTGTTGGGTAACCTCGTACCCATCAGTGTTTCAATGTTGTAGTCAGATTAACGACTGCAACGTAAGCACCTCTTAATTGCGAAGTTCTTACCATGGCATGGAGCTATGCCACGGAGAACCTCGATACCACAAAAAAAAAACATTGAATATTCTGCAAAATATTAAAATTATTACATTTGTCGAACATCTTCAGAAAATATTCGTTAAAAATCCACGCCTATATTTGTCCAACTTCTTTAGAAAATATACTTTAAAAATTTACGGTTATAATTGTCGAACTTGGGAAGGCCAATATATACGGTAGCAGTGAATCGAACAAGCCAATGATCCTTCGCGAATATTGGAGTCCATGACATAACCAGTGGTCATGCCTAATACTGTTAAATAGTTTACAGATAGGGTTTCGACTGCATACGAGCGGAGCCTGGTTGATAATTGGACGGCTGAACTAGTTCAATTACCAAGTCCTTTCCATGGTAAGGTGGATATGCCGCGGTCGGCATTATGTTCTCCACTTACTCGAAAACGTGTGGATCCTTAAAATGTTAAAATAAATTCCCCAACAAACGAGGACATTAGCCGTTAGAATACGGAATACAGTAAATTCCGTCTTAGTAAGCAATATATCTCACCTGACTTATGCGACGATAAACCTATGGCGGACGTGGTATCCACGTTTACCCAAGTCTCACTGTCAGTAATGCCGTGATGGGCAAAAGGATGGTTAATATTGGGGAGACTGCATCTGCATAAAAGAGGCCTGTCCCAGACGGATTTATGTGGGTGCGGGATGACTGAGGACTGGAAGCATATACTGACGGAATGATGTTACTACGATCCCATTAGAGATTTAGCTAATATGGGTATATCGAATGGAGGGAGGGGCGGGGTGGGATTTTAGTAGAGCTCTTGAAGATCGGACCTTTAGTTATTTAAGTAGTTTTGCTCGTGAAGCATTTAGGAGAAGGGCAGCACTTAGTGCAGGTGGTCCTCGTGCATAGCCCCCTTGCTATGGGTGGTTCGCGGTCTTCCTGTTTCGCCCCTCACCAAGGGAGAGAATGTGCCTTCTGCATGCTCTCCGATTGGTACAGCACTTCGGTGCTGGGTCGCGCAATTCCACCTGTGACTCAGCCACTGTGGGGTAGGCCAATAGACAGGTACTCACATAAATTTCAGTCAAATTTTTCCAGTCGAATTTTTTAATATTATATTTATTTCAAATTGATTTGAATATATTTTAATATAATAGAAGAGGAAACATTGTAATCAGGCGGTAGCTATATAAATTATGTCATAACCATGTTTCATTTAAAAAAATCCCTCACACTGTCAATTTTTTGTTTATGTTTTCATACAATTTAATCGAATTTGAAAGTATTTTGACAGCACAAGTGAAATCATCTGGTTTTATCGGACATAACCATGGCACAATGAATAGGTAGCCCATTAAGAGCAGCTGATGTCTTGATTACCTGTCAAAGTGGGTAATTTCTATTTGAAATCGATGTGCAGTGTTGCCAACCATTTGAAATATTATATGGAAAAATTTGACAGATAATCGAGACAAAAACAAAGATTTTTGTTTTGATACATCACCTTATTATTGCATCATGGACATAACCATAAAGCCATATCAATCAGCTGATCGAACCAAACCTATGGAAATCAATATATTCGACTGCTACGTCACCATTTATGGTTATGACATAACTAATTCTACCTTAATAATTGTACCATGTTATCATGCACTAAAAATTTAGTCCCGCGAAATAAGAAAGTGTTCATATTTGGTCTGTTCCCTTACTACAAGAATCTACTCATGGCACAATGAATAGGTAGTCCATTTAGCGCAGCTGATGTCTTGATTAACTGTCAAAGTGGGTAATTTCTACTTGAATTCGATGTGCAGTGTTGCCAACCATTTGAAATATTATATGGAAAAATTTGACAGCTAATCGAGACAACAACAAAGGTTTTTGTTGGTATACATCACCTTATTATTGCATCATGAATCTACTAGATCTTACTGTTTTCTTCGATATCATAAAGGAAAATTCGTTATCGTAGTAAAAAGTTGTAGATTCTTGCAGTACGAGAACAGACCAATTGTTTCAGTTCTAACCCGATATGCAGGTGTTTTGATTCGGTTATTCACAAATAAGCACATCATAGTTCGATTAACCGATTAGTCGTAAGTCGATCTAGTTATCCCTTGATAGTTCTATGCGGGTGTGTTTGTGTCCGAAGAAAATGAAAAATTATTTTGCTCCGTTGTTTACTCATCAAAAAAGTTTTTAATTTTGTGTTGCGGATCTTAGTTTTGTGAAAATTCAGTAAATAAAAGGTACAGAAACCGATAAAGTATAAGAATATAATGAAATAAAAGTAAAATACGAGTTTTTGTTGGAATTTAAAGCTTTGCAAAGAAGTAACTGACACACCCAACCCCCCTTTCCTATCGGATTGTAAGTGGGTGCAAGTGAGGGTATAGTTTTAATGAAACATTAGGGTGGCATATTACACACGATGACATAGTTTTTAACACCAGACACAAATAATCAATATTTGATGCTATTTTAGATTCGGTGACCAAATTCAAAGTGAATGTGAAGAAGAGCAGGTTCGGAGACGAATGTAAACAACTTATGATAGAAGTGGGGTTTAGAATAAGCGTGCAACAACATGACGGAAAAAATTACTCTGGCTGATGCCTTATCCAATGTGGAGGTATTGGATGAACTCTCGCTGCCCGATGAACAGCCCTGCATTGAGGCCCAACCATGTTCGGTAATTTATAAGGCCAATTTTGATACTAACTTTGAGGATCGTAATGGTTTTGTTACCGGTATTGCCAAATACATTGAAGAGGCTACAACACATGCGAATTTGGTGAGTATGAAAGTACAAATTTCCATTAAAAGTATTTTAAAGACTGTGTATTTTTTTAGAACATTTTACTCGATGAAGGCCAAAAGCACTCGGTTATGCTGTACACCTGGCGTTGCTGTTCCCGAGCCATACCACAACCCAAGTCAAATGAACAGCCCAATCGTGTTGAGATTTATGAGAAGACCGTAGAGGTTTTGGCTCCCGAAGTCAATAAGCTTTTAAATTTTATGTATTTCCAACGGAAAGCCATTGAAGCGTTTTCGGGCGAAGTTAAGCGACTTTGCCATACCGAAAAACGCAAAGACTTTGTATCTGAAGCATATCTATTAACTTTGGGTCGTTTTATCAATATGTTTGCAGTCCTGGATGAATTGAAGAACATGAAGTCTAGTGTGAAAAACGATTACAGTACATATCGAAGAGCGGCTCAATTTCTAAAAGTTATGTCAGACTCTCACACTCTACAGGAGTCTCAGAATCTTTCCATGTTTTTGGCAACACAAAATAAGATACGTGACACAGTCAAAGATACGCTGGAGAAGATTGTTGGCTATGAGGATCTGCTGTCGGATGTGGTGAACATTTGTGTACACATGTTCGAGACAAAAATGTATTTGACACCCGAAGAGAAGCATATGTTGGTTAAGGTAATGGGCTTTGGTCTATTCCTGATGGATAGTGATGCGTGCAACATCAATAAATTGGATCAAAAGAAAAAGATCCGCCTGGATCGCATAGATCGTATCTTTAAGAATTTGGAAGTGGTACCATTGTTTGGCGATATGCAAATTGCCCCCTTCAATTATATAAAGAGAAGTAAACACTACGATCCCAGTAAATGGCCTTTGTCTAGTTCGAATGCTGCCAGTCCCCAGGCAGATCTTATGGTACATCTGCCACAGATACGTGAAGATCATGTAAAATATATATCGGAATTGGCTCGTTACACAAATGAGGTTACAACAACTGTTAAGGAAAATCCTTCAGATGCTGAAAATCGTGCAACAGCAGATTTGGCATTAAGAGGTTTACAGCTACTGTCGGAGTGGACAAGTGTTGTAACGGAATTGTATTCTTGGAAGCTATTGCATCCAACGGATCATCATCAGAATAAAGAGTGTCCCGTCGAGGCAGAAGAATATGAGCGAGCTACGCGTTACAATTATACATCGGAAGAGAAATTTGCTTTAATCGAAGTTATTGCCATGATTAAGGGTTTGCAGGTGGGTTAAGACTTCCATTGGAAATTATACGCTTTTTATTAATGTATCTTTTATTTCCTCAGGTCCTCATGGCCCGTATTGAAACGGTTTTGTGTGAAGCCATACGGCGTAATATTTATTCAGAGCTACAAGATTTTGTCCAACTAACTTTGCGTGAACCCTTGCGCAAGGCCGTCAAGAATAAAAAAGATCTTATACGCAGTATAATAATGTCGGTGCGTGAAACAGCTGCCGATTGGCAAAAGGGTTACGAACCAACAGATGATCCAGCTATAAAGGGTAAAAAAGATCCAGATGGTGGTTTTCGTATACATGTACCACGCCTCAATGTTGGCCCCTCTTCAACTCAGTTGTATATGGTTCGTACCATGTTGGAGTCTTTGATTGCCGATAAATCGGGAGGCAAACGCACTTTACGTAAAGATATCGATGGCAATTGCCTCATGCAAATTGATGCATTCCATAAGACATCATTCTATTGGAGTTATTTGCTAAACTTTAGCGATACTCTACAAAAATGTTGTGATCTATCACAATTGTGGTATCGTGAGTTCTATTTGGAAATGACAATGGGACGTAAGGTCAACAAATGTACGGTGCGTCATCAACACAACGAGGAATGTAAGGATTTGATAACAATGGAAAAACGTATACAATTCCCCATTGAAATGTCCATGCCATGGATATTGACCGATCATATTTTACAAACCAAGGAACCGTCTATGATGGAGTGAGTTAAAAATACAAAATTCGATTTTTCTAATATTAATAAATTTTATTTGGATTATAGGTTTGTTCTATATCCCCTGGATTTGTATAATGACTCGGCTCATTATGCTTTGACTGTCTTCCGCAAACAATTTTTATATGATGAAGTTGAGGCCGAGGTTAATTTGTGTTTCGATCAATTTGTCTATAAGCTAAGTGAACAAATCTTTGCCCATTACAAACAATTGGCGGGAAGGTAAGCTAATGAATTTTAATATTTTTAGAAAATATAATTTTTTATTGCCTTTTCAGCATTTTCTTGGACAAACGTTTCCGTTTGGAATGTGAAGTTTTGGGCTTTAACTTCCAGTCATATCCTCGCAATAATCGTTATGAGACATTACTCAAACAGAGACATGTACAATTGTTGGGTAAGTTTTTTTTGAAAATGTATATCCTCCGTGCTCTATGATAGAGGAGGTATATGAATACAGAACCTTGAACCTGTGTTTTCTGCTGCTATAAATGTGGAATGAACTGTGATGACATTATCTATATTGCATTTTCTACTACATGCAATAACAGTATTGAAAGTGTATTTTAAAGGGCAGAAAAATTTCGTACTCCTCTTTTTGTTTATAGCAATTTACAACCCAATTAATTTATTTTATATATTTTTTTATAGGACGCTCCATTGATTTGAACAAGCTAATAACACAACGTATTAATGCTAATATGCACAAGAGTATTGAATTGGCAATAAGTCGCTTTGAAGGCAATGATATTACCGGCATAGTGGTAAGTAATGACCATTAAAATTGAAATACAAAAAACTAACCCATTGATTACTTTATTAGGAACTTGAAGGTCTATTGGAATGCAATCGCATCTGTCACAAATTGCTAAGTAAATATTTGGCCCTGGACAATTTCGAGGCTATGGTTAAGGAGGCCAATCACAATGTATTGGCACCATATGGTCGCATAACGCTTCATGTGTTTGTTGAATTGAATTATGATTTCTTGGTTAATTATTGTTATAATGCAGCAACAAATAGGTATGTTATTTTTTTAATAAAATGTAAAATATGAAACAATTATGATAAAATGTAAAATTTATGTTTTCCCTCCAGATTTGTACGCAGCAAAGTAAATCTGGCATCAGCCCAGCCAATGCAACGTGAAAAGCCCCCTCAAATGTCCCACTACTATTTGTGGGGTTCAAAACAATTGAATGCTGCCTATTCCACACAATATGGTCAATATACTGGCTTCGTTGGCGCACCTCACTTCCATGCAATGTGTCGTCTATTAGGCTATCAAGGCATTGCTGTTGTTATGGATATTATCCTAAAGGATATTGTAAAACCATTGATACAGGGATCACTTTTGCAGTTTACCAAAACCCTGATGAGTGCTATGCCAAAATCATGTAAATTACCCCGCTGTGAATATGGTTCACCGGGTGTTTTAAGTTATTATCAAGCCCATTTGACCGATATTGTTCAGTATCCGGATACAAAAACCGAATTGTTTCAATCATTCCGTGAATTTGGTAATTGTATTATATTCTGTTTACTAATTGAACAGGCTTTGTCACAGGAAGAGGTGTGTGATTTATTGCATGCTGCATTGTTTCAAAATATCTTCCCCAGACCATTCTGCAAAGGTGAGAAGAAAATTTATATATTTTGTAATGAAAACAAAGTGCTAATTTGTTATTGTTTTGCTGTTGCAGAAAATGAAAAACCCGAAGCCAAACAAAAGCGTTTGGAAGCCCAATTTGCAAATCTACAAATTGTCTCGAATGTGGAAAAATTAGGCACAGCAAAGGTGAGTATATTTTGTTCTTTAAAAATTAAAAATTAATTAAGTCTCATCTGCCTCACAAACTCAACCCTCTTTCAATAAGAATTGTATGGGAATTGAGCTGATTACAAATCACCCCCTTTAACCCACATCATTCCCAAAATTTTTACAATATCGAATATTTTTCTTTTCGATACTGAAAATATGAATACTCTCGTTATTGTTAGCTCTCCTATTAATTTACCATTAATTTATCTATTTCCAGCAAGCAATGATTGCCCGTGAAGGAGATCTTCTCACCCGAGAACGTCTCTGCTGTGGCCTTAGTATTTTTGAAGTGATTTTGAATCGTATTAAAAGTTATTTAGATGATCCGGTTTGGACTGGTCCAGCACCGGCTAATGGTATTATACACGTTGATGAATGTTCCGAATTTCATCGTCTGTGGTCGGCGCTACAATTTGTCTATTGTATTCCCGTACGTGGTACTGAATACACAATTGAGGAATTGTTTGGAGAAGGCCTGAACTGGGCTGGTTGTGCAATGATTGTACTATTGGGACAGCAACGTCGTTTTGAGGCCTTAGATTTTTGCTATCACATTTTGAGAGTGCAGCGTGTTGATGGCAAGGACGAGGATGTTAAGGGAATTGTAAGTCCAAGAATTTTAAACAAAATTAAAATCCATTTCATAATATTTCCATTTTTTCACTATAGAAACTCAAGCGCATGGTGGATCGTATACGCAGATTCCAAGTATTAAATTCACAAATATTTGCTATATTAAATAAATACCTAAAAGGTAGTGATGTGGAGGGCTCAAATGTTGAACATGTGCGTTGTTTCCCACCACCACAACATCCTTCGGTAATATCTTCACATTATCAAGATCCCAATAAATTGCGACAAAGTATGAATAATTAAATTCATACTTGCAAACACACAGAAACACATCAAATTTATTTAAAAGGAAGACACATAAATGTGTACAACGATTTCAAAACAATATATTTATAAACAAAACACATATATTTAATAGTTAAAACAATTAAACAATAAGCAAACAAACAAAAACAATTATTCTTCTTAGCCAGTATATTATTAGATATTATATTCAAATTTTTATTTGTTTTTCTGTTTATTTTTTTTTTTTAGTAACCAAAATTACAAACATAAGTATAAAAGAAAAAACAACCAAATTTTTAAAACATTGTCATTGGCATTTTATTAAAAAATATACAAAACATTTTTTACAATCACCAACCAACCACCAAGACCACAAACACAAGACCTGTATGAAGAGGCCAAAGATCATATTTCGTTTATTATGCTTTCCACCGACAATGCAAATTTTATTGGCTTGTAATTTGAGTCAACCAATCAATGAATACCTTGCCTTTTCTTTGTCTATTTTTACGTTTTTCTTAACAAGTATTACATTCACTCCATAATTGAAAAAAAACGAATGCATTTTTACTAAGCACACGTACACATATTTACACACAATAAATACATGGAATTGCATTTCAGTTTTAGAAGTTTTTTCTTCTTCTTTTTTATTTACATTCTCAAGAGGTATTTGGATAACGCTATATGTATACATAAATATATATTACAAATATAATTTATATATATTCAACATACAATATATTGCAAATAATACATACTACATATTGTAATGATATAAATGTTACAACACAGCAAATGGAATCAAATTTTTTCAATAAAACATAAAAATTAAACATTTTGATAATCGTAGCCGAAAACACATATTTCATAGTATCGTTTTTTTTTCTTGGATTTAAATTTATACTTACATGTGGAAAATAGCTGCCTGAAAAGAAAATGGAGTGAAATTAAACAAATCGACAGGAGACAGCTCCGAATCAAGGGTGGGGCAATCGCTTATATTTTATGTGTAAATAAAAAGATTTAATTAATATAAATAAAAAATGACATTGAGATCAGAAGAAACTATGTGAAAGGAGATCAATAAGGAAAGGTTGTATCAAAATAAACTAGATGAGCAAATGAACCGGACAATAACCCAACTATGGCAGAATGAAGAATTCAATACAATATTACTTTTTTCAGTACCATTTTACTCGAAAAGGTACCCTCGCACGGGCAAACCCATTGCAGATAAAGTGATTGATGTGATTATTATATTTCTCTTGACAAAATTATCGGATTTACTACTTTTACTATTCAGTTATGATGGAAAAATAACCATTTGTATTAAAATTACCAACACCAACACAAAACCAGTAACGAATGCAGTAAAGTCGGACGGGGCCGACTATATGATATCCTTCACCACTTTGGGTATATTCAACAGATGAATCTTAACAGACGTTGCATTTTTGAAGGACCAGTAAAATGAAATTGGACCCATAAACATGTTTTTCTGCAACTTATACTAAATTTTTCATTTGGTAAGATATAGAGTTGATTCTTTTTAATGGGACAACATTATGTAAATCAATTTAAAGCATATATCAATCGGATACCCGTTGATTATTTGGATACATATCTGATAAACATGAGGACTTTGGTGCGCCATTTACTTCAAATCAGACGAAAATATGTATAAAAGCTATATCGAAATCCAAGCCGATCAGTTTAGTTAAAATCGGGAGAAAATATGTATGGAAGCTCTATCGAAATTTGAACCGATTAAATAAAACTTTCCACATGCTAGGTTCTATAAACTATAACTATATGTTTGGGTCTTTGGTGCACATTTTACTTAAAATCTGACGAAACTATATATAGGTACTATATATAACTTATAGGTTATACTAAGTTCATTACGAAAGATATATGTGGACGAAAATATATATGGGAGCCAGCAACGTACACAGGGGGTGCTCATTTTAGTACAAAATGAAAAAATTCGCTATTGCAAACAAAAATTTACTGTGAAAAAAATTCATTTCGGGAAAATTCATTACTGAAATTTTTTTAATTCAATGGGTAAAGCGTTGCACGAAATTTGGCACAGCGTAATGAATTAGGTATAGAATGATGTGTGTTAGGTCTCCTGGAAATCGGTTCAGATTTAGATATAGCTTCTATATCTGACCAAATGAATTTTAGTATCGGTTCCAGAATGAAAGGTTTATGGATCCAGTTACATTTTACTGGTCCTTTAAAAATGCGACGTCTGTTAGGATTCATCTGTTGAAGATACCCAATGTGGTGAAGGGTATCATATATTCGGCCCCGCCCGACTTTACTACTTTCCTTAATGGTTTCTTATATGTGCAAAGTGTTGAGTCAAATAAGTAATTTTTTTTTTCATTTTAATGAGTCCCAGAATAGAGAACGAGTTAATAACACTAATTGGAGAATACATCCAGAAGTCTATTGCCGAAGAAGTGAAAAGAGCTGTATTCTTTTCGTTTTAGCAGTTGAATCTATATATGTATACGATATTTGACAAGGTATCTAAAAATCATAGAATCATTTCTTCGGTACGTGGAAATAGAAGGATAACCAGCAAAAGAATTTTCGAACGTCATAATAAACACACCAATCAGTTTGGGTTTGGATCCCCAATATTTTTGAAAGATCAAGGATATGACAGATCATTACTTACTAAGCCGGCTTATAACAGAACTATTGTTCCATAAGCCGAACATAAAAAAATATTCCTGGGCTCGTCGGTTTGTGCACATTTCATCAAATTTGAAGTGACCATTTTCCGAGATAAAGATCTTTTCATCGGATTCGTGGCCTTCGCCTTCTGCGTGAACCATTACTTGGCTCGCTTTTATATGCATGAATGCCTTCCGTCTATCACAACATGATGGAGTTGATTTCTCGTTATTAGATCGGGAGAAATCCAGGTGGCCTTGTGTATATCGATATGATTGAATCAGGTGCTGCTAACTACCCGACGGTGGGGCCAAAAATATTTTCCCCTTCCGATTTTTGCATTAAAATCTCCTAATGTCATGGCCAGGGCAGCGATTATATGCTGTTTCTAGGCGTTCGTAAAATATGTCTTTGGTCTGCTCATCTTTGTCTTTGGTCGGTGTATGGGCGCAAATGAGACTCATGTAGAAGAACTTCGCTTTTATACGGATTATAGCAATTGGCTTATCTTCTGCAGTGTAAACTATAAATCAACTGCGCCTGTTTTGTACAACAAGTGCAGATTCACAGATTGTGGTCCTTTATACGTTTGCGAGGGAAAAAATAAAAATTTGACGGTTGGCAATGTTAATCATTTAATTTGTTCCAAGTAGATTTGTTTACATCAATTTGTGAATATGATATCTCTCAAATGGCCGCCTCTGGCGTTGATGACGTATTGTGCCCTTTTTGCTGCATTTTCCATCGTTTTTGCCAACATTTCGGCCGGAATAGCGGCTATTTCTTCACGAATGTTGTCCGTGAGCTCTTCTACGGTCCTTGGCTTGTTAACGTAAACTTTTGACTTCAAATATCCCCACAATAAGAAGTCAGGCGGCGTCAAATCGGGCGAACGCGGTGGCCAGTCCAAATCACCATTTTTCGACATCAAACGGCCCGGAAACAAATTCTTCAGAAAATCGATTGTTATGCGACTTGTGTGCGGTGGAGCGCCGTCTTGTTGAAACCAGAACGGCCTCATACGCTTTTGACGAATAATTGGCATCACAAAATTAGTCATCATGTCGCGATAACGCTCCTGATTGATGGTAACAGCATGGCCATTTGCATTTTGGAAGAAAAACGGCCCAATGACCGTTTTCACACTAACGCCGCACCAAACTGTGACTTTTTCGTCATGAAGAGGCACTTCTTGAATCTCCTGAGGATTTTCAGTGGCGTAAAAACGGCAATTTTGCTTATTTACGGTCCCATTCAATGTGAAATGGGCTTCATCGGACATGATAATTTTGTTCCAAAATTGCTCGTCATCTTCGGCCATTTCGATGACTCTTTGGGCCCATTCCAATCGACGAGGCTTGTCCGCAGGCAACATTATTTGCGTGAATTGAATTTTGTACGGGAACAAATGCAAATCAATGCGCATAATACATTGTAAAGTGGACCGAGCCATACCCAACTGCTGAGAAGGGCGTTTTTGGGATGTTCTTGGACCTCTCAGCACTGGCTCGTACGGCAGCGATATTCTCGGACGATCGCCCTGGTCGACTTTTATATGGCCTCTTCGGATTAGAAAGAGCCTTACCAGTCGAAAATTTTTCGTATAAACGCTTAATGGTGTTCTTAGAAGGCGCACTTCTCACATTTTTTAATGTTTTAAAAGCACGTTGAGTTTTCACAATTGACTTCTTCTGTTGAATGAAAATTTCAATAATTTCAGAGCGCTCGCGTGGCGTGTATTGGTTCATGGTAAAAATCTGCTTGGACTGACGCTTCAAACGCGGTATGTCATTAAGCGATGTGACATCTCTGTCAAAAGTTATGGCGTTGCCAGATGGGTCCGTCGAATATGGGCAACCCTGTATATAGTTTCGTCCGATTTGTTATGAATGATACACCAAACTCTCAATATTTGTCCGATTGGGACAAAATTTTGCACAGCGTACTTAATTAGGTCCAGACTGATGTCTGCGAAGTTTTGTTAAAATCTGTTCAGATGTAGATATAGCTCCCACATATAGTTTCGTCCAATTTTATGTGAATGATGCACTAACTCCCAATATTTATCCGATTGAGAAAATTTGGCATAGCGGAGAGGGTATCAAATTGAATTGATGGAGTGATAGCAAAAAATAAATGGTGTATGCAACAATTGCTCAATTAGGTACATGTGTTTATATATAGCTCCAATACATAATTTTACTCGATTTCATACAATTGGTACACCAAAGAATCTAAGTCTGCCCGGTTGTCATGCAATTTTTCATTGATTTCAGAATGGTATGTGGATTCAAATATCTATCTAGATAGCACATTTAATTTCGTCCGATTCCA